ACTAGGCGACTAGTAAAATTTTGGTCGACCAAGCCTCTTCTGGTCGACTAACGATTAGTCGACAATTAGGGGGCAGCCCTAATATGTATATATATATGTGTGTGTGTGTGTGTGTGTGTGTGTGTGTGTGTGTGTGTTGTACATAAATTAATGCTGAATTATTGATATTGTCTTTCATTTACATCTGGAAGAGAATTGCATCTGCACTGCAATTTATCTAGACTACATTCTTGCTATGCTTTGCATGATAGGTGAAAAAATTGTGATACGGTTGAATACATGCTTGACAAGCTCCTGTCTCTACATCTCTTCAGGCCTCTTCCTTTGTGACTGGTGTTGTTGTTCTGGACCACCATGTCAACAATGCTCTTATTCCATTCAAAATAAACTTGATTGTCCACCTGAATGTTCGCAAACTTAAATTCTGAAAAATGTTTGGACATTTACGTGAAAAGAACAGAAGTTTTCCCAGGAGGACTACAGATCTGCACTATCAACAATCACAATATTTATAAATATAGAAGTGTGTTGACAAACTCTTTAGATCTATTTCCTAGCTTCTCTAAAGGAGAGGCCATTTCTTACATGGTCAATTTGGGAAACTGATTTCATTTGAAATTTGTCTCTATCTTCTACCTCTCCTTCCACCCTGATGTCCACTTCTTCTCTGTCTTCTTACAGTTTCTCATCTTGCTCTTTCCACTACACAAATGCTCTCCGCTATGATCTCTTCTCCCTCTCCTTCTCCTCTCCTCTTTTTCTAACATCCTCCTCTCTGTTAATCTCTTTCTACCTGTTCCACTCTTCTTCTCTCTTTCATTACACCTCTTTCTTTACCCCCACCACCACCACCATATTCTGTCTTGCTCTTTGTATATTTTCCCCTTTATAGTTAAAGCAATTGTGATAAATGTGTAAACTGTTTTTCCTGTTTTGTGTGTGTTATTAAGCGAGCAGTTATTAGTTTGGTGCCAATTTGAAAATATTCCATCTGCATTTGATATGACAAATTACAGAATTTTGTTTGTTGTGTTTGGACAAATAGTACATAAGTGTTTGTGATTTGTGTAAAACCAATAAAAGGAGCTACAATTGCTTTTTTTCCAGATATTTTAAAGTATTGGTTGGTTGTATTAACTATTATGAACACATTTGAGAGTTTTGTGCACAGTGTTTTGAGAAAATAAGCATGGTTTGTAATTTGTATGAAATGAATGATCTGTTTAGGACAATTACAAAGTGTTCAGATCACTGAGTAAACTGTTTTGAGAACAGTGGCCTGAGTTTGGAGAAATGTGTCAAATCGATTGAGGAAAAACTGCAATATGCATTATACAGAGACGAGATGAAAAGAAAATACCAACTTTTCGGAAGACAGTCAGTTCCCCTCAGAAACACATTCATATAAACCCCCAAATCAATATTTAGGATTTTCTTCCAATATTTTGTGCATCATGAACAGTGAGTTTGTTCTGCCTGCTACAGCATTTTCTCCTCTTTGCGTTCATCTCTCTGGCTTCAGTTAACAGAACAGAGACCGGCTGAAAAAAAGAAAAAAAGAGAAAAAACAGCTGGTTGCCGATCGCGTAAGTTACTGGGCATCACCTACTTAGGCCATCTTACACACAGTTGACTGACTGCTCACACCAACGTGAGGGGGAGGGATCATGTTACTCTCTACACTGCACACAACCTGGGGTATTCCTACACTTTCCATCTTTGACAAGACATGAAAAACAGCGAATGCTATATAGGAACGATATAACGAAAATTTTTAGTGGTTTTGAAACCGTGAAATTTTTCAAATCGCGGTATACCTTGTAATCGGCCCATGCCTACTAACTGGTTAGGTGACTGTTCTTTCATTCTAGTTCATGGTATTCACTTTTCTTTAATTTTATACTACAATTATTGGAAGCTCTGATATGCTCTGAAGTGCATATTGTGTCTCTTATTTACTAATGTATTGTGAGCTACAGTTTCTGACCGTTTGTAAACCATCTCAGCCATCTTTCATTTGCTAGCCATTAATGTGTTATCACAGGGTCAATGTCGGTGCTACTGATCTTACTAAGGGTGGCTGACGGATCATGGATTTTTCTTGGTTTGATCCGTCATAGTTCATGGGTTTTGTTCCTCTGAAAGGTATGGGGTGGTTTGCTGGTAGACTCAAATGATTTATTTTTCTAAGTTGTACCTTGTTCCATTATGCAGCATTTTTATTTGATACCTGACTGATCTTGATATTTTGAGTTGGAATATAAATGGCCTAAACACCCCTCACAAACGCACAGGTTTTTGGGATTTTTTTGCAAAGAAGAAAAATTGATATAGCTTTAGTTCAAGAATCCCATCTGCTAGAGGAGGATGTATGCAGATGCAACAAGAAGTTTTATGAAGTGATATCTTATTCAGCTACGGATACTTTAACTAAAGGTATATTGGTGCGGAGGACTCTAAATATCACTATGTTAGATAAAGGCTCTGATTCAGATGGTAGAATAACACACATAAAAACTGGTGGAAAATAGGATTATTGTATTTTTTTCAGTTTATGCTCCTTGTACTGCTGATCCTATTTTTTTTTTCTCTTTACTCTCAGCTTATCTCTGGAAATTTTCTGACTTCGAAATTATGGGTGCAGATATGAATTTTGTAATGTCCCACAGTTTAGATAGATCTGGACCAAATGAATCTTACTTTCAGGCTTTTTGTTCTGACAAACTTCAACCTTCGTATAACCGCGTCCTCACTGCTATATTTGGCGATTATTTAATCCCTCTGCTAGGTCATATACTTTATTTTCCACTACTCATAAAACATATTCACGAATTGACTCTATTTTCATTTCTACTTCCTTATCTTCAGCTGCTTAAGATGCCGATATTTGCCCCCTATTGATATCTGATCATGATGGTAATTTGAGCAGACTATCTTTGGTCCCACAACCCATCTTGGGATGGCGATTTAATCCCAAGCTGTTACAGGAAGAAAACGTTTGCAATCAGTTCAGAAATAGGTTTGCTGAGTTTATTGAAATTAACAGAGGTTCAGTGGATGATCCACGAACACTGTGGAGCGTGGTTAAAGGCTTGTTTTGGAGTGGCCTACTCAAAGTGACTTGAACTCAATGGAGATGTTGTAGCAGGACCCTAAACAGACATTTCATACTCAAAATCCTCCAAAGTTCCACCACAGTGCTGTAAAAGATTGATCTCCAGTTATCGGAAGCATTTGGTTGCAGTTATTGCTGCTGAAGTTGGAACAACCAGATTTTAAGTTTAAGGGGGCAGTTAGTTTTTTACATGGGTGATAGGTGTTGGATAACTTTTTTTGCTTCAATAAAAAAGTAAAAAAAAAAAAAAAACTGTGTTTACTCAGATTTTTGTTTTATTTTGTGAAAATCTAAAATGAAGATCTAAAATTATTTAGTAGGAAATAAAAACAAGAAATCAGGATGGAGGCAAATACATTTTCACAGCACTGTACAACAGTTGTGTAGGCTACTTGTAATAAATATATGTCAGCTTTAAGGCTAATCTATGTTCTGATGTACTAAATGTTGAGAAAATTATTTTTTAACAGCAGGGAGTACATATTCTTTAAGGATTAATAATAATATTGATGAATCATCAAGAACTACACAATTTATTTATTTATTGTTTGTTTGTTTGTGTGATCAAATGCAATCAACCAACTAACCAACCAACCAAATGAAAATATTACTGATGAAGAAAATTATTTTTGTTGTACATTGTCCTTATCTGGTTCTTTTGACCTCTTCTTCCTTATCCTACTAATTTTTATTGATTGATTACTTAACGACGGTTGTTTTTTTTACTTTTTTTTTCAATTGATATCTTTTACATATTCTCTCTATTTGTCTCTCAGGAGGACTCCCAGAGGTACTACTCCTGGCGCAGTTTTGGTCCTGGTGACAAACGCACACAGGATCTCTGGGTGGATCTTGATTCAGTGCATCAAGGACCTGTCAGAGTGCACGCTATCCTATCCAACACACACCGACAAGCATCGGTGAGACAAACATGCAGAGATATTCCTGTATTCTTAGGAAAATATGCACATGGTTCACATGGGCTAAGGAAACATCTTATTCTAGCTTGTAATTTTGTTACTTAGCATTTTAACTCCCTGCTTACATTTTCTTTTTCTTTCTATTTCTCCCTTATATATATTTTTCTTTATCCTACTGCCTGTCTCCTCACTAGCGGTTGGCACTAACCTTTGACTTCCTTTTCTATGGACATCAAGTGAGACAAATCACCATAGCAACTGGAGGTATTGTATATAGACTCTGTTCACCTCTCTCCTACATCAGGCCATCTGGAGCATATCAGACTGGTTTGTGTTTGCCTTAGCACACAGACACAGAAAATGTCTAACATGAGATGCTTCCATGACCTCTTTTGTATTATTCAAGACTGATCAGATCGTCCTTGTTGAAGTTTAGATCTTTTACATTTTTTTCTCAATACCTAGGCCCTTTTTTCAAAACTCTTCACACAGTGCTCCTTACCAAATTTCAGCTTGGCACACCATTAAATTTCACATCCAAAATGCACTAAAACTACCAAAACACTTCATACTTAATAAATTGTCTCAAATCAACTTAACACTAGCAAACCCTCATAATGCAATATTGCAATTAAACTTTACCTCATGTAAATGCAATGCTTAGATCAAAATAATGTGATTAAGCTCATAATCATAGCAAGCATAATCGTATTAAAATATATTTACATTTACATTTTAGTTTTAGTCATTTAGCAGACACTTTTATCCAAAGCGACTAACAAATGGGGACAATAGCAGCAATCAAACTAACAAAAGAGCAGTAATATGTAAGTGCTGTGACAAGTTCCAGTTAGTCTCGTGCAGTATGCTTAGAAAGGTTTATTTATTTTTTTATTATAAAAAGAAAACAAGTACATAGAATAGAAATAGAATAGAGACTGATGGTGTTAGATGGTCAAGTTTTTATTATAATAACTAAAAGAAAACAAGTAGAGAGAAGAGAAGAGAAGAGAAGAGAAGAGAAGAGAAGAGAAGAGAAGAGAAGAGAAGAGAAGAGAAGAGAAGAGAAGAGAAGAGAAGAGAAGAGAAGAGAAGAGAAGAGAAGAGAAGAGAAGAGAAGAGAAGAGAAGAGAAGAGAAGAGAAGAGAAGAGAAGA